CATCACAAAGAGTGCGTTTCAGAGCGTTTGGCCTCTGGAACACAACCCGGCAGTCTCCCTGTGCCACACGTTCGGGTGCGGGCGATTGCACTGCAGGCGGGAGGCGTGGCTGCAGTGCCAATGACTTCAATGCACCGCCCCTGAACGCATGGAGCTTGCCAGGTTCCGTTCCAGTGCGTTTCAGAGGGCGAACACTCTGGAACGCACTCTTTGTGGTGTGAAACGGCCCTCAGGGCTTAAAGGCTTAAATCTCCAGGGGTAAAGAAAAAACTCCCCTTGCAAAGGGGCTACCACTAAACTGCAAGAGTGATATTAAACCTTTATTTCTTTAAATATTTTTATCAATGGGAGACTGCATTTATGCAGAACTTTGGACTTTTTTTTTTATATTCTTCAGTTCCACGTTCTCTAGTGGGTCCCCGCACTGATCTCCCTCCCACCCCCTGCACGGGAAGCCAGCTCCATGCCAACGGAAGCACCGGTATCGAAAGCAAAATATCAGTACTCATACTCGATACCGAAAAACAGTAACAGTGCATCCCTACAAATTAGCACTGTTCAAGGAGAACTATGAGGTGAGTGATTTTCACTCAACCTCATAGTACAAGCCGACGTGTGACAATGAGACCTCATAGTTCAAGCCGACCTGTGACAATGAAACAATGAAACGTCGGCTCAATAGATTGGGAAGCGAACGCATACCATCGCTTGTTCACTTCTCGATCATGTCCCTGCAGACAGCCGTGACTATCACTCATGGCTCCCTGCAGGGATTCCCCCCTCCCCGCTCCTCCAGCGATGACTGGCAGAACGGACTGGCGGGCACAGCTGGCTCTGTCTCTAGATAGGCAGAGCCAGCTGTCAATCACGCAGCTGGGTGGATCTCGACAATAATGTCGGGATCTGTCTCGGCTGCGGCAGTCTCAGTATACCACGAGCTGTAGCTCGCAATATACTGAGCTTTGGGTCACAAAACGTTAGTATATGTCCTCCCGTGACCCTTAGGAGAACTATGGATGAGAAACACTTACCCCATAGTTCTCCTTTAAGTCTTATAGTTTTGGTTAAGATTATTTTTTGTATCACGACAAGTAGATTGTCATGAAGGACAAGTAGATTGGGCCCCCACTTTAGTCCTTGGACAAGCAGTTTTATAAAACCCCCGAGTTATATTTTTATTGTTCAGAAAAAAATTAAATATATACGTTTATACCCTACTTAAGGAACATGTTTCTACTGAAAGGGCACAAGTAAAGCTCAGAAAAGCTGGGCATTAGCAATAATTGTTTTAGGTGGATTATTCTATCTGTCTCCTGGGAAATATCCAAGACTGCACAAACGGCTTTCATAGACAGGCTTATCATTAGATGTCTGTCAGATATTAAAGCCTTTAAAAGGAACACAATGTACCACGTCCTAAATCTGCCAGTAACGGTAGTCTGGAAACACAGGGAAAGCATCATATGCTCCCAAGGAGAAACAATATTGAAGTCAAAGTTTTCCCATGCTCAGGACAGAATGTGCATTGTGCAACATAAAATATGTGGCCAGGTTATCGATATAGTCAAACACTAACATCTGATTGGAGTTCCCAACCAACATAATCCATCAATTCAAATGGCATTCAATCAAACAAATTCATGTTCTGCATAGTTTTTGGCAGATACAGTATAAAGGATGTTGTACAGTCAGATACAGTATAAAGGATGTTGTACAGTCAGACTGTAATAAGTATGGTCAGCTTAAACGTATTCATCAGCACTGCATTTGTTGGTTTACATTTTGGTTTTCTATTTAAAGGAGAACTATGGGGTCAGTGTTTTTCCCCATAGTTCTCCTTAGGGTAACGGGAGGACACAAACCAGCGTCCTCTCGTTACCCTAAGCTCAGTATACCGCGAGCTACAGCTCGCAGTATACTGAGACGCCGCAGCAAGGAGCGGATCCCGGCATCAATGTCGAGATCCGCCCAGCTGCGTGAGTGACAGCTGGCTCTGCCTATCTAGAGGCAGAGCCAGCTGTACCCGCCCCCTCCCGTTCCGCCAGTCAGCGCTGGCGGACCGGAGCGGGGAGGGGGGAATCCAGCCCCTCCCCTGTCACGGCAGAGAGCCGTGACAGGATTGAGAGGTGAGAGAACGCCGGTATGTGTTCGCTCACCTCCCGATCTACTGAGCCGACCTGTGACAGTTTCATCGTCACAGGTCGGCTAGAACTATGAGGTTAGTGGAAAGCACTCGCCTCATAGTTCTCCTTTAAGATTTTTTCCCCATCATATGCATTTATCAAACATAGGTGGCAATATTGTTTTTGCTTGAGGCTTAATCATGCCTTGATAATGGAACCTGGTTAGTACATGCCTGTATATACCACCTCATTGCCAGGACAGTTTTCAGTGCTGTGATACTTTGACAATTACTGGGTCATGCAACACTGTACCCACATTTTTGGATTTTTTTCTACATTTATTTAAACTTTAATTTTTTTAAACTTTTTCTTTTTAACTTAACTTTAGTGCCATCACTAATCCACTAACTTTAGTGCCATCACATAGGGGGACTCACATGTTTTAAGGTGACATTAGGGGTCTGATAGACCCCTAATGCCACCTCTGCAGCCCATTAAAGCTGATCAAGCACAGAACATGCTTAATCAGATTCCTCTTCTGCCTCTCTCAGACATCTCAACTCTCCTGGATGTTCTGGGAGTCTCCCGCTATTAGATAGCGGCTCCCGGACGCCCAGGAGAGAAACATTTTCTCCCGAAAAGGTTTACTCTGCTCGATCTAGCAGAGCAAACCTTTCCGTGCCGTCCGTTTTTTTTTTTCTGACATCGGGGCCGCCGGCAAAAAAAAAAAAGCTGCATAGGAACTAATAGCTAGATTGCTATTGGCTATTTCAATTTGCAATAGCAAACTAGCTATTGCACCTGCCCACTGCTGCTGTCAATCAGCAGGAGGACCTGAGGTTCTCCATCTGGTCCACCTCTGCTGACTGATAGCAGCAGAGGGCGGGTGCAATAGCCAGCTTGCTATTGGCTATTGCAAATTGAAATAGCCAATAGCAATCTAGCTATTAGTTCCAGTTTTAAAGCCCCATTCCAGTTTGGCACCCTCCAATGATTTTCTGTGCCGTAAGACTGGGAGTCCAGGGCAGTTGGATGGCACACGGACACGAAGTAGGCTGAATGAACCTGGGTGTAGTTGCAGCAGCAGGGGGTAGCAGATATTGTGAGAAGCATAGCACCAGAGAGGAGATCTGTTTAGTGCAGTGAAATCTCCATGTTTTATGTAGTACATTGTTGCCCTTTTTTTTTTAAACTGGGGTTTTTTAACCCCTTTAATGTACTAACACAAGGGGGGCTTTTTGTTTATACTTTTCAGTAGGGATGCACAGATACTGTTTTTTTGGAATCGAGTACCGATATTTCTCTTCCGGTACTCGACGACACTGAATACCTATGCCGGCACTTTCCAGGAGCATGAAGCCGGCTTCCCGGCCAATCAGGATTCTGATTGGCCGGGATGCCCACTCAATGCTGTTTGGCTGGGAAACCAGCATCCTGGCAGATCAGCATGGATCAGCAAGGAAGCTGGACGGCCTGATTGGCTGGGAAGCCAGCTCCATGTTCCCTCGTGGCACTGCCAGTCAGAGGAAATCTCCCTCTGACCGGAAGTTCCGGTATAGGGGGTAAGTATGGACGCATTTGGGCAAGTACGAGTACTCACCTAAATACTCGGTATCTGCACCAATACTGGTATTGGTGCTTCCCTACCTCTCAGATAATTTCTACTGCTTTTAAATCATCTAAACTCAGACAGCACGTGTGAATATATAGGCCTGGCACCTGTGCAAATCTGTCTTAGGCACTGCACACACGTTACAATCTGACTATGCAGTCTCAGTACAATCAACGTTAGATCTTCCAAAATTATACAATGAGGATCAACCTAAATGATCCAATTTGTATCTGATTATTCAGGCACTTGCACTACATAGTTGTTGGTAGAGCTAAAGCAGAATGTACAAGCCGACTGACATGTATGTGGTGAACTTTGGAATGCCCATACGCTATGCAATCCTATTGTACACTCTCTATTCGATTTCCCAAAACTCTGCAATATAAAGGACAAACCCTAACAGTCCATTCATTGTGTATCCAAACAGGAAGGTCCTTGCACTACACAGTTGATGGTAGATCTGCATAGTGTATGAGAAGCTTTCATTTGCTGCTCAGGGCTAGCAAATAAACATCAGAATGATCACATAGACCAGGGGTAGACAATCTCAGCACACCAGCTATGGTGAAACTACAAATCCGATCAAGCCTTTTCTTGTAGCTGAAAGCCTTGCAATGCCTCATGGGATCTGTAGTTCAACAACAGCTGCCAAGGCTGGCTACCCCTGACACAGACTTTGCTATCTGACTGGCAGCGTGATTTACATCTAATATCATTGCGACGTTGCTTGATAGATCCCCCCCCCTACTGTAAAGGAATCAGAGGAATGTCATCACAGAAACCAGACTCCTCCCAGGTCCTCCCACGACAACTGTATTTTATATTTATAGTATATGATCAATCACGCCAAGCCAGCATACTAGAGCCCCCAACATCTCAAGCTGTGTAATATGTTTACTGTTTCTGGTCCCATCCAGCCAATCACTGAGCTGAGCACAGAGCAGCAGAGAGATGCTGGTGACATGAGGCAAGCTTTGATTGGCTTTGACTACCATTCAGCAAAACACATCACACAAGACAAGCTTTGGCAGCTATAAGCCAGAAGCCCTTCACCCTGCTTTCCCTTCAGCAGGATTTAATTTACAACATGTCCATTGTTTTCTATGTACCCTGTGCACACCATCCATACATGTGTGGTGGTTTGCAGAAAAAAAACAGCTCAACAGACATGGTGTACAAGCATGTTTAAGGGTAAAGAACAATCCTGATATAGTGTAGGTGATTAGATATTCCTGCCAAAAAAAAACAAACAATCTTTACAGTACCTTAACTGATCCTTTCTTTTTTTCTTCCGCCTCAGATCCAAGCCTCACTTCCAGATTAGAGTCAAGCCTCTCTTTCAGCTTGGCATCATGCAAGTCATGTGATCTAAGTATCACTTCCTCATTCATGTGTTCCAAGCCTCGCTCTCACTTCTATACGTAGTTCTGTGACATTCATTTCATTCATATATAATACAGAGTAACATACCTCCCAACTTTCTAAAATGACAAACATTTTAGCCATAAAAATGTAGGCAAATGATCCAGTCGTGAAATGCCCCCAATTATGCAAACCACAAAGAATTCATATGTTAAAAAAGGGCTGTTGACCACTGGAAGACCGGGGTGTGTTAAACCCCTTTCCTGTCCAGGCCATTTTTCAGTATTCAGTGCTGCAGTACGTTGACATTTATTCAGCCATACAACGCTGTACTGAAATTATTTTTATATCATTTTGTGGAGACAGATAAAGCTTTCTTTTGGTGCTATTTTATTTTTTACTATATAAAGAAAAAAGTTCAGAAAATTTTGAAAAAAACCTTTTTCCTACATTATGTTATGAAACATTTATTATTACCCAATTTTTGGGTAAAATATAAAAGATGGGGTCACGTCAGTCATGTCAAACCTTAAAATTTATGCGCCTGCGAAATTAAAAAAAACGACCATACCCAAAATTGCTCATGATAGGCGACGCTTAAAAAGCTTTTACTGCTCATCAATTTATTAGTGTTAATAGTGATTGATGACCCTAGAATTATTGTTTGCACTCCGACGTTCTTGGTGATATGTAACATGTGCGGCCCAATGGGCGAAATCGTTCTTTTCGCACATAGGCGCACCCGACGCATGTTTTTTTAACATGTAACATAAATTTCAAAGTACCTCAGCACTGAATACTGAAAAATGGCCTGGACAGGAAAAGGGTTTAACACCCCGGTCTTCAAGTAGTCAACAGCCCTTTTTTAACATATTAATTCTTTGTGGTTTGCATAATTGGGGGCATTTCACGACTGGATCCTTTGCCTACATTTTTACACTTAACTTTATTGCTATGACATAGCTGGCTAAAAAGCTCCCTATGTGATAGCAAATATACAGTGAGAGGTCCTCTTTATGGAGACATCAGGGGTCTCTACAGATGGCGAAGAAATGACAGCTGAAGGAGGAAGTGATGTAATACACATCACTTCCGCATTCAGAGATCGGAGGGGACTATGAAATACTATTGGCAAACTATCTTTGAGATAATAAATCAAGTGGTAGGAGGGGGGATACCTGAAACACCGCTTTATTCTTAATTATCCCAGGATCAATTAAAGGAGAACTATGGGGTTAAGTCCTTTCCCCATTGTTCTCCTTAGGGTAACGGGAGGACACAAACTAGCGTCCTCCCGTCACCCTAGGCTCAGTATACCGCGAGCTGTAGCTCGCGGTATACTGAGACTCCGCAGTATACCGCGAGCAGCTGCAGCGGATCCCGACAATTGTGCCGGGATCCGCCCAGCTGCGTGACTAACAGCTGGTTCTGCCTATCTAGAGGCAGAGCCAGCTGTACCCGCCCCTCCCCCGTCCGTTCCGCCAGTCAGCGCTGGCCGATCGGAGCGGGGAGAGGGGAATCCAGCCCCTCCAGTGTCACGGCAGAGAGCCGTAACAGGATTGAGAGGTGAGCGAACGCCGGTATGTGTTCGCTAACCTCCCGATCTACTGAGCCGACCTATGACAGTCTCATTGTCACAGGTCGGCTAGAACTATGAGGTGAGTGGAAAGCACTCACCTCATAGTTCTCCTTTAAGGCAGTTAGGAAGGGGGTACTTAGATTTCTTGTAGCGGCAGCTCGAGCTCCCATACCCAGACTGATTAAAGCATCATAGATACCTGCAATTAAAGACTGGATAATAGAAGTAAATTATCTAATGCGCATGGAAGAACTTTCTGCTAAGCTTAATGAGGCCACTCAGGTCTATGAAACAATATGGGGCACATGGAAGGAATTTCTAACCTCACCCAGCCTATGTGGATTTCTTGAAAAAGAGGATTAAATTAAATAGAGATTAGACTTCAAGAGTGTCCCCCATTTGTGTGTTTTTTTTTGTTTTTTGTCTTGGCTGGTGTTGTTTGTATTGTCTTGTTTTGTTTGGTTCTTTGGTTGTTTGTTATTAAATGTAAAAAGTACATAGGAGCTTTTGGATCTAGAGCAGTGGGACTTAGAAGAGCTCTCTGCTTCTCTCTCCGAGATTGTATGGCATACTATGTCTTGCACATTCAAATGTCTACGTACACTTATTGAGGTATTTAGTGGAGGGGTGATATCGATGTAAGTGTAAAAGGATATGATTAGAAAATATAAATAATGAAAGATTGTGAAGAGAGGGGGAAACGAAGCTGGATATAGCCTGGGTATGATATACATTGGAATTTTCTTTTTATGGATATAAGGCAAATTAATAATTGTTTGGAATAAAAATAAAATAAATATTATTCAAAGATCGGAGGGGAGTTCAACAGGAGGACGTGTGCTGATCTCTTTCCGATCTCAGTACAGAGAGCTACCATGCTGGACAGCGGAGCCCGGGATAGGCGGCGGCAGAGGGGGGCGCACACTTGCAGACAACATCAAAGCAATCGCCAGCCAGGTGTGCCCCCGATGTAAACAGCTGTCACCGGCTGTTTAAAATGCTATCGGTTTCCTGCTAGTGCACACCGCCCCGCATTTTAAAATGCCCACCTGCATTCAAGAATAGTTAAACCCACACTTTTTTCCATCACTATTTTTTCTTGGGCTTGTTCACACTATGTCTAGTGACCTACATTTTTCTGCGCAAGAACCGAAAAGGGCACACAGAAACTGTTTGTTTTCTGTGGGCAGCACAGTGGTGTAGTGGATAGTGCGTCTGCCTTGCAGCATTGGGGGTCCCTTGTTTGAATCTTTGTCAGGTCACTATATGCAAGGAGTTTGCATATTCTCCCTGTGCTTGTGTGGGTTTCCTCTGGGCACTCCACTAAAGACATGCTAGTAGGTAAATTGGCTCTCATATGTATGCATGTGAGATATGGACCTTAAATTGTAAGGTCCTTGAGGGCAGGGACTAATGTGCAGTATGTAAATGCTGCGTAAATTGTCAGCGCTCTATAAATACCAGTAATACAATCTATATGCCATGTTCACACAGCAACAATGATTTCAGTGGGTTGCACACCCCTTCTCTTAACTGCTTACAGGGATCTCCATCTTTCCAATCTGGTGTCACTTTTTGGATTGCCATTCACCATTCAGGCCTTATTCACACTGAGCGATTTGGGATTCCCAGATGTCCTGTTTAGATGCGGCCGCTGTACCCGTTCAAGTGAATGACAAGGTGACAGCGGCTGCATCTGTAAGCAGCAGTCAGCATGTATGTGACACGATTACATGCGGTTTGGAATAGATCACACCAAACACACCTGCAAATCGAACCTGAGCAAGTTAATCTCCATAGGACTTAAAGTGACTCCAAACTCAGGAGTTATCTCTTCAAAATGCATTCAAGTACCTTAACTATTAACGGAAATTTAACTTATTTGTGTATCACTCTGCTGTAGTTTAATTTCATATCTATTCTGCAGCATGTTACCCATGATTCCCTCACACTTGCTTATCACAGAGTCTTTGGCAGATCATGTATCTACCATTCATCTACACTTCCTGCCCATACGTCCTGCTTACCCTGCATCTGGAAAACCTTGATGGGTACTACTGCCAAGCCAATTGCACACCTTTACTATCTCAAAGCTGTGGATTCAAGAGCTCAAGTACTTCCCTGTCCTTTGGATCCTGTATAGATGCTGTGCCTGTGAATCTCGCCATCCTCCCAGGAACCACAATAAGCACCACCATCTTCAATGTCAAAGAATCTGCCAGTTGTTGGAGCAAGGCATATGGGGCATTGAATTGCAGGTGGTACTTTAAAATAAATAACAGCACAGACACTAACATACTTGGAAGAAAAATGGCCGCAGCACTTTTATTGGTTTAAAATGTTAACTGAATTTAATCAAACCGTTAATAGCTTAAAACCATTAAATCAACCGTAGATTGCTCAGTCATAAAACTCAAGCAATATATAATCAATTATAAACCAGACTTGAAGTCCCCCTCCTATAGGAGGTGACACTACCACCTAAAAGCCTGCAACATAATATTTTTCACATTTGAAGGGTGATAAAAGGAGGGGTAAAGATAGCTGTGTTGAGGGTCCAGCCGAGTACCCTTTCGCCTTTACGGGTCTTCTTTTATGGGCAGCTGCCAGAGCCCTGGAAACTTCTAGAACAGCACGAGCCAAGGATTTTCCCGCATAAAACTAACAGGTGAGCTTTCTTAAAGGGGAAGGCACTTAATTTGTGAGAGATTTAAAAAAAAATTTTTTTACACTTTATTTATTTTAATTATCAATAAAACATTCCTCAACCTGACAGAAACGTTGTAACATGTGACTGCCGCAATCCCATGAAAGTGGGAGCCCAAATAAATTGGGACCCACTTGCACATTACCGGCTTAATGTGTTTAGAAATCACAGATTTTATTAAAAAATAAGAGCTGAAGTGCTTGTAAAAGCTTGTGTCTTAAACACGTTCTGTTCTGTTGACATACATTTTTTACAAGTTGCGTTACATTGCGCTGAAAAAATTGTAAAAAATGCACTACTTTTCTTTTCATTGCACTGTAGCTAAATGCAACAGATCGCAGTGGCGTGAACTGGTCCCATTCAAACCTATACATTTTTGGGTTACCTTCCGTTGGCATCTGTTGACATCAGTTGAAAAATGGATGCTAAAGGATTTGGTGTGCATGGGGCCTAAAGGTATACTTCAGTTATAATTTAAAATGTTGCCTTGTACTCAGTACTTCAGCTTTCCATCCAGGCATTGCTATACAGTGCTAGCCCACCTCAGTCAGTAATCTGGTGATCCTGGATCATGCTTAACATGAGATGCTGGAACACCCACTGCAGCCTGCTTCTAATAGAAAGCCTGATGTAAAAAAAAAACAAAAAAAAGAAGCAAACAAAAAGGATAAAGTACTAGGA